AACCCCCTTCCCCTCCCCCTTTTCTGATGAAGGGTCTAGGCCCGAAACGTCAGCCTCTCTGCTCCTATGATGCTGCTTGGCCTGCTGTGTTCATCCAGCCCTGCACCTTGTTGTCTCTGTGTTTGTCTTTCCCTGGTTTTTCTATTCCAGCACCTTCTTTAAAACTTCTCATTCTCCTACTAAAATGAATTGTTTCACATTTCTGAGCATTAAATTTCGTTGGTTATTTACACTTTGTTTCCTCCTCCTGTTTCTACTTGTGGCTTTGTAACCTTGCTACCACATAATCGGGAAAAATCCCACGATATACTTTCTGCAGCACCGCAATTGTCTGATTTTCCACTGGCTTAACAACAGCAGTAGGCATCACTCACACAACTATATCATTAATAAAGATAAACTGTACTTCTGGAACCAAGAATTTTTTCTATTATTCCTATCACCACTTTTCACTGGACTCAATGCACTGACCGATGAAGGCATTCAGTTGGGACATCATGTTGCAGTTCCACAGGACGTTGATGAGGCCACTTTTAGAATACTGCCTTCAATTCTGGTCTCCTTGCGAGAGGAAAGATGTTGGTAAACTTGAAAGAATTGAGAAAAGATACAAGGATGTTGCTGGGTTTGGAGGGTTTGAACTATAAAGACGGGCTGAATAGGCTGGGGCTATTTTCCCTCGAGTGTCGGAGGCTGAGGGGTGACCTTATAGAGGTTTATAAACTCACAAGGGGCATGGATAGGATGAATAGACAAGGTCTTTTTCCCAGGGTGGGGGAATCTAAAACTAGAGGGCATAGGTTTAAGGTGAGAGGGGAAAGATTTTAAAGGGACCTAAAAGGGCAACTTTTCATCCAGAGGGCGGTGTGTGTATGGAACAAGTTGCCAAAGGAAGTGGTGGATGCTGGTACATTTACAACATTTAAAAGCCATCTGGATGGGTACATGAATAAGAAAGGTTTAGAGAGCTTTGGGCCAAATGCTGAAAAATGGAACTAGATTAATTTAGGATATCTGGTCAGCATGGACAAGTTGGACTGATAGGTCTGTTTCCATGCTTTATATCTCTATGACTCTGTGTCTCTCCATTTCATTTATTTGCCTGTGTCCATCTGAAGTCTATTATTATCATAGTCTTCACTATTTACCACATTGGTACCTCTATACACAAGCCCATATACTTAATATCAAAAAAAGCACTGTGTTTGCCCAAACAAAGGCCCTGGGTGGCACGCTATGTATTTCCCCCCAGTCTGAAAATCTGCCATTCAGTTCACCACCACTGTCTGCTTTCTGTTCTTTTAACCAATTTTGTACCACATGATCATTGTCTTTTTTAATCACATGTGCTGTGTCCCTTTCAATTATGCTCATCATGCTTATTTCAAATTTTAAAGTATAGGCCAGTTCCTATTCCAGTACTGATAGTCAAAAAGGAGTTGTTTGTTCTATCAGTTACATTAAACTGTTGTCACCTTGATAATCGGAAACAAGCATGTGTGGAATGTGTACAGGTTAGCTTTTACTTCCTTTTCACATTGAAAGCAATAGACAAAACTATTCACACATATTCAGAGCACATTTAATCCTGGAACCATAAGTGCCAGTCTTTATCATACCTTGAGACTTGAAAGGTAAGAGCAGGTATCTATATAAATTTTTTTCCACATGCTAACCAACTTCCCTAACAACTAGCAATACTGGAATTATTACATTCTGTGTCAACTAATGCTGATATGCTGTACAGTATTAGTTGTCCCTAACTCTGTGATCATGTCCCTCATGTTGAGCAGGAACCAGAAATGTGGTCAATCAATGTGTAATCTAAGCAAATAATTTGGCCAAAGCCACAGCTATAATTTGTCATTGCATATTTACAGATACTGAAAGATATGAGGGAAGATATTGTCTCTGTGGTGTTACCCACTGTTAGAGTTTGCAAAGCTTCCAACAGACAACTATGGTGTTACAGGAAATCAAGATATTGCACACTCTATATGTACATGTCCCCAGTGTTTGGCTATTTTACCTCCAGCATTGACAAATTCATAACTAACAAGGGAAGTTGATTTGTCAGAAAATAACACAGCAAGTAACACAGACAAGAACTTAGCTATAAGCCATGAGCAGCAAGATTTTTGACATCGCAACCATATTAATGTACACAATCCTAAACACAAGTTATTATATTTGTATTCAAATATTCTTTCAGCACATGACAAGCCAAAAAACAATTCATTTCAGTATTATTATGATGGAAATCATGAGGTAGTATCATACATTTTAAGCTAAAAATAGTCATTCAAAATAACCCTTGAGCATAACATAACATCTTGACAAGTTTGTGGCTTTTTTTTGGAAGTCAATTGATTTTCACAATTATGAGAAGCACTCAAGAGAACACTCAATGTGCTTGAGCAGAACTAATGAACATGAAACAGGCACAGTTCTGACAGCAGTAACAATTCCACTGCCTGCAATCCTTGTACTGCATTTATCAAACTCCCCATGGTGCTAAAAACATTTTTTAAAATCTGGAATCAAATTTGAGTGAGACTCTTCAAGACAATGATGTAGCTAGAGTCCTTGCATTATATTCTGTATCAAAAGGCCAAATTTTGGCCTGTAAGGGAAACAAAAGAATAAATAAATGAGTATTTGCAATTTTTCTAGAACAGTATGTCCAAGCAAGAAGACATCAATTCCAGTTTGGAAGCCAAAGGCATGGGTAATTTTTATCAGTACCCCTGCCCAGAGTGGATTTAATTAAGAATGTTCTCAATGAACTTACAGTTGGAGAGTAGGTTTCTTGCTACTTGCATAGTAGAGATGATGAAATGAGGATGGGACATGGGTGTGGGACAGGAGTCAGTCAAGTGTGGTTTGAGTCAGGGGAATATTGCAGATGGATCAAACACAGAGATCAGGAGAGATGTGGCGGGATTACTGGGTGGTCAGTGATCATACAAGGTTCACAGGTAATATTCAAAGGAAAGTGAACAGAAAATGTATGTGTCCATTGGTGAGACCTGACAGTTGAACTTTAACAGAAATCATCTAAGTATCGATTTTAGCAAGTTTCACAGATGGTTTCCCCCTGCAAAGCTTAGTGAAGCTTCTCATGCTATCTTCCAAAACTCAATCATCAATTATGCACAACTTCCCTATAGCACCTCCCTCACTATTGTTTCCTACTCACTATAGATTGAGGCACTCACCACTTCCTAGGAACCCTGGCACCAGCACCATCTTTACAGCCCAGCTGAGAATGAAGTCAAATACAGTCAGCCTGGAGTTGCCCTTCAGCATCCATATAGTGGTAGAGTAACTATGAACCAACACTTCTGAAATAACTGCACAGAGGCCAGTTCCCAAAACCAAGTCACCCTTTCTGGACACTGGACACTGGACACTGGACACTGGACACTGGACACTGGACAC